ATGTGTCTTTTAGGCCCTTATGTGAACATTCAATTTTAACAAAAAAAACCTCCTGTTTCTCACCCAGAGGAGGTGCCCCACCACAGTCTGGTCTCTGCACACACAGAAAGCAGAAGGAGAAAAGGGTAAAGCTATTGCCTACTTTAGCAATGGGGTTTTCTGGCCTTTGGGTACAGATTTACACCTCCCACACACGAGCTGGGGAGCTGCAGGAAAGGCAGTAAGCATTCAGTAGCCTCATGTTAACACTTCACCTCACTGACACCTGCTCCAGTCCCGGCTCTCCAGGACCAGGTGCTCCTGCTGCTCTGAGGCAGACTCCAGAAAGCTGGCAGCCCAACTCCCCTGTATTGCAAACCCCACCCCACAGATGTGACAGGAGTGTTCACACTGTGGGTGCAAGTATTTCGTAACAAATAGTAAACCAAATATATGTGTCATTTTTAGCAAGGGTGATTACACAAATACTGATGTAAGATGAGCTACCTAAATGTATGTCAGCTATAGAATAAGGGCCCATCCATTTGTTCCACTCTTCATCAGTGGAACAGTATCAGTATCATAATTCTGAAGCAAGACAAGACGTGGTTCCACCCTCTCAAGAAAAACTCATTCACAAAAGGAGGATGCATTCTCCCAAAAGCAGGAGGAAGAAGCAACAGCCACTTCAGTTCATTTATCTATCTAGAGGAATGTCCATTATTAAAAACTAAATTTGGTAGTGCAGGACTTTCCACACATATATATATATATATATATGCATATAACAGCAATGATGAGGAGAACCTGTTCCCAAGTCTGTGTTTCCTAGCACTAAGGATTCAAAATGTCATCTGAAGCACCTCTGTTTCACATTGGCTCATTCTTTAATTGTGTCAGTATAATACTCACACAATTACAAATTATAATGAACAAGTCCCACTCTGAAATCTGAGCCCTAAAGGCTACATATGTTATCCAAATATATAACCAAATGCTAAGCACACTGGGATTCTTTCAACCACAAATTTAAGTAATTATGACTATTCCTAATGTTGCAACAGAAATATCATGTTCAACTAATTATAGCTCAGAACACTTTTCTACTACATATTCTGCCATTTTTCAAAGTCACCCAATTTTCATCGCCTTAAGCAAAAGACTTCATCTAAATTTCTTACCTCTATTAGCACAATCTTTACTATTAAACCATTTGTGTAAGTTAGTTTTTGACTGACTCTAATCTTCTGACTGACAGAATTATAGGTATAATGCGTTTCCTCAGGGGATTTTCCTACTTAGAGAATCAGTCTGCAAATTTCTCACTCTCTGAATTACAGCCCATGATTTAATGTCATCCATTTCCGCATCCTCAAAACCACGAGGGAGACCCTATTTCCACAGGTGGCTCCCCGTGGCTCTTTGCCAACAAAAGTGCTTGCGACAGTGAATTACACTCTTCAGAAACCTTACTAATTTTTGTAGCTAAATTAGACTTTGCTTTGTCACTACTGCCTGCAAACAGTCAGAGATGGGGATGTGCCTGGGTGTTCCTATTTACAGAAACAGGCCCTAAGCAAGATACCTGCAATCCAGATAAAATCTGGCAAGACTAGCTTTAATATGTCATAGGGATATATTTGCATCAGATAGTGTGTGCCACATCAGAGAGTTTTAATGAAAAAGGCAGAGGAAAGAGGTATCTACAGCACATACATCTCCCCTTCCCATTCACCAGTAAATACATGATTTGTTGTAAGAACACAGACAACACAAGCTCCTCAGTAAGGGCAAGCAAAGAGAAGGTTCACAGCAGATCTACAGAGAGGGCCTGCAGGGAGCAGAGCATCAGGGAAGCATGAGGTCAGGCTTACAACACACCCTTGGCTCTGCCTAGCTCTAGGTCATCTCTTACACCTTGGTGACACCACAGCACTACAGGCACTGATCCTCAGTGGTTTCCCCTACAGCACAAAAGGCTGAAAACAAGCCTTTCCCCCAGGGCATCCCCACAAAGCTCCTGGCAGATGTAGACACAGGTGAGATTGGCTCAGCTGGATGGAGCATGGTGCTAATACTGCCAGGGCTCTGGGTGCAATCCCTCTATGGGCCATTCACTTCAAGTTGGACTCAATGAACCTTGTGATCCCTTTCAACTCAGAATATTCCATGATTCTGTGAACAGCTAAACTCAGGATATAATTGTGGATAAGGCCTTGCCTTTAATTTGTGAGAAGCTTCAGCAATCAGGTAATAAAACAATACAGAGCCAAGTTTAACACTCAAGTACAAGTGATTCACAGTACAACTTCACCAAGTTTAAGGACCAAACAAGTTTCTTCCCCTTGAAGGAAGGCCCACTGCCATGGAGAAGACACAGTAGAACACACAGCAATGATGGCTAAAGAGCAGTAAATTACAGTTCATATTAATACATGTGGCAAACCTAGGTAAAAAGGAGTAGAAGAAATGCAGCCTCTTCTATATTCCTTATACTGAAAACAGCCTTATCCAGTAATGCAGATGGGATGATGATTTACTTTTCCAATCACCCCTACATAAGACCTCAGGGTATGCAAAACGGCCTTTACACAAAGTTCTGTTTGATGAAATCAGGATGATGAATTCTTTTTATGCTATAAAATGCTGTTAGATATAGCTGTAGTAATAACTTCAAAAAATATCAAAGTCTTCAATTGACCATGTTATACATAGAAGAGAAAGGTAAAATATTTATTCTATGGTTAGATGAAAAAATGTTCTTTTATAATAAACACAAAGACTAGTTGCTCAGTGCCTGGCATTCTTTGTGAATATTTCCTGGAATTACTGGTGTCAGTGTCAAGCCAGTGCAGCTATAGGTGTGTTTCAATATTTGAATGTAGAAAAGGAGAAGCATTTTTGAATTTAAATTTGTCTTGGATATTTTTGGCATGAATTTTTAAAAACCAAGGATCATGGACCATGTCAGGATAAGAGCATTATAGGGAAAGGAAGAGAGATTTGAGGATTTTGCCAGATTAAAATGTTCAGTATCTTGTGTCTTGCACTCCTAACACTTACTCCAAATATTAACTTCCAGGTAAATATTCATAAATGCATTCACCACAGGTCTGGCAATGTTGTTATGAATTTTAGAGGCCCCAGATATGTCCTTTCCTAGAAGACTCTCTAAACAACAATAAAAACAAGAAAATAGCAAGAATTGATACTTTTAGTACAACATCACATGGTTCCAGCAATCATAGGAAGGTGAATGCCATTCTGCACCTATAGTTTTCAGAATGCTTTCTCACTTGTAGGCTACATGGGGCATAGGGCATATAAAGCAACATTCAACCTTTTTTGCAGTATTTTCAATCTTATTTTTCAGTATTTGAATAAAGAACCATTATTTTCCAACTTACTTGGAGATTATCAACATATCTCAGACATCCACAATAATCAAAAATCCCATCCATATAGAGGAGCTCAAATAATGTTCTGAATAACTCCCCGTTATTTAAAAAAAAAAACAAAAAACATTTCTTAGTACACATTTTTCAGGTCCTCTAGATATCTAAACAATGAAATCCTGCACTTTGCAGACTAAAGGGGAAGTGTCACCATTATGTTACATAACAACATAAATAAGGGGGAACATCCAGCCAGGTCAAAAAGGGCACTAGCCCAGGAGCAAAGAAAATTCCTCCTCCAGCATAACAAGTCTGGGCAATTGCCATCTATAAATATGTTACCAAAGGAAAGAGTACATAATGAGTTTCCATAGAAAAACCTAAACACTGTCCAGCACCACAACAGTGAACATGACAAAATCAAGTTTAACTTTTAACAAGTTAAATGTTCTAGGAGAATGTAAGTCTTCAGACACATGAGGTTTAAAACCAAGATTGATGTGATGTAAATGTTATGTAATTCCAGCTCCCCATAATACCAGGCGTGTTTGCACAATTCCTTCTGAGGTACCTGGTGCTGACTACAGCACTGAACTAGAGTCTGATCCAGCCTCACAGTTTCTGTGTCTCTTTGACACAGAATAAGGTAGAACTGAAAATACAATAAAAATCAAACAATGCAGAGACATTCCTGGTGATCCATTGCAAAGACAAATTGAATTCCCAATCATGGAAAACAGACAAATTCCCTCTTTCTGTTTTCTCCTGGAGTTTTCTGCAGCAGTCATTACCTTTGTTAAGCAGAAGTCGGTTGGAACCAAGAAAACAGGAGCTAACCTGCTGCTGCTCTTATCCAGGTGTCCAAAGAACAAGGATTTGTTGCAGTCATTGCTTTGCCACCTGCCTGAGGCATTCAACTGTATCTAGCACAATGGCACTGGAAATCATTCAGGAGTAAATACACAATAACATTTGTATGTTTACAGCATCTGTGAAAGGTGTGGGTAGGGTGATTTCTCTACTGTGTGTTTCCAGAGCAAGTGAAACCCATTAATTAAATTCATGCTCTTGTCCTGCTTCAAAAGTAAAAACAGAGATGATTTATGGGCACTGACAGCTGCAGGAACTGGTTTTGCTCACTCCCTCTCATTAATTAATTTTGAAGCATCTGGAAAGGTTGATTTCTCAGATTCTAAACATTCAAAAGGCTGCACATCCTCAGTTTCTGCAAAGAAAGAAAAATGCCTGTTTCACGCAAAGAACTGTCTGTCATGGTTTCTCAGTGCTGGCTGAATAGTGTCTACTGAAATTGTGTACCTCAACAGCCCTGTGCCTACCCAGGCAACTTGTAGGATAAAGCTGTAAGAGATGCCAATGACAAAAAACATTTCTTATCCAGTAATTAATTTGTCCTATCAACAAAATCTCTAAAATGAGAAAGTGGCACTTGTAGAACAGTGTAATCTACAAAACAAAACAAAAAATTTTCTCTAATAACAGACCCAGGGAAATTGCCACAAACTCTCCCTTCTAGAGGGAATATCAATGTCTCTATATTGCACGTAATGATATATGCAAATATAAATATATACAGCAATACACCAGTGTGTTTATTTCTTCTTCTAGGTTCCTTAAACAGGAGGCAGATTGCTAGCATTTGGGGCTGAAAGCTGGAGGTAAGCAATCAGAAGACATTTAACATGCAAGATAGGAACAGGAAATTGTTACAGAAGTGGAAAATTTTGGGTACTGAACTTTCACCCTCAGCTCCTGCAAGATTTTTGCTAATAAAGAACTGTATAAACATAGACAGATTATATTGCATTACTGCCCAGCAGAGCCATATGCTGCTTCTGCAGACATGGCCAAAAAGATCAAAGCTTCCTGTGCATTAATGAGCTAAACCTGGGTGTTGTATGTTTCATATCATGCTGTAGACGTATATTGACCTATATTGACAGAGTGAAGGGCTGGGCCAGAACTCTGGATCTGTCTTTCAGTCAATTATTTTATGATTCTGTACAACACTTTGTAAAACATAAGGCAAATTTATTTTGTTGTGATTCATGGCCAGACAGCAGAAAGCCTGCCAGGAACAAGGATACTGCCATCTAAAGCAGCTCACGATCACTAGTTACCAGGAAGAAATAAAAAGTATCCAGCATGGTCTATAAAAGTGGTGGAGCAAACAGAACGTAAAACTCTTTCTGCCAGTGACCCAAAGGGGCCTCACTAACAGTTGACTGTAACTAAGAACCTCTACCTAGGCATGAATGGGCACATGATACTAGGTTACAGAATCAGCAGACAGCACCATCCCACGGTGCCTTAGCTAACAGAAAGAGAGTAATTCTCCAGAAAATTCTCGTACAACTGGCAAGACCACAGAGCTCTTTCAAATAGCCTATTTTCAGTTGTGAATCAAGATCTTTCCTTTTGTCAGCTCTTTTTGCCACTCAGGAAACAACCTGTGCCTTTTGAGTTACTGATGAGGTGCTTCACGACTCAAGGAGATCTGTCAGATTTCAAATTGTTAAACAGTGTTCATTAAATGCTAACTGGTGCATAGCATCTTACCTGCTCACATTCTTCATGTTGTTGGTGACAAGTTTGATATTTACAAGGAGCAATGTGATGACAGAATTCAAGAGCTGACATACTGATATATTTAAAAAATTAAATTCAAGAAAGTTTGACAGAATAAATAATCTCAACATGTTTATAATTCATATGTACTTTTTGTAAAGAAAACTGTCTATTCACTTCTCTTCCTCAATTCCTTCAGTGAACCAAGACCCAAGACCACTATTGTATTTCCTTCTTCTCATCCCTACAGAGTCTAAGAGAGAAGTGTGCAGTTTGACAGTCAGAAGATTATTTCTTCACTCCAAGCATTCATAGAAACAATTCAGGATTTTCAAATTCGGCTTTGATTTCACAAAACTGCTCCTTTTCCTAAACTTAGAACAGAATCTTAAAGGCTTTGAATCCACTCCTAGCAAGGTTAATTAGAGTTTTACCATCAAAATGCAGTGAGAGAACCTTAATACAACCATATGTAAACAATCCATGTGTAAACACATGGGCACAATCACAAAGAATGCATGGAAATCAGAGGTTTGTTCCACTGAAAATTAAATTGCAATGAAGAATTGAACCTATCAAAAAGAACTCCCAAAAAAGTTATTGAACAACAGACTTTGCAGCAGAGAAAATATTTGAATGGTACAAAAAGCACAAGGTTGTTAGAGAAGGGGAGGAAACTATGAAGGAAATGCAAACCTCAGGACATTAGAATTAAATGGGCAATTAAAATCACTATTGATAGCTAAGCATTTGGTGAAACTCTAGGGGATAGCATGGAATTCTAACACTTTTTATCAACAAAGGAAAACACCTAGTGTCTACAACCAGGTGATCTTCAGCTCAGCTTGGAAGGCCAAGTTATGATTTCCAGAAAGAAAGAGTTAAGCCCTGTATTGTTTGATAAACTACGTTAGTTCTCTTTGATCCTTAGGGTGAGGGAAACTTTTCTTAAGAAAATTGCTCATTGACTTCACTCACTGTGCAAAGAGAGGCTGTGTGTGGTGCTTGAAAGCTTCACGGTGGGAGCTCCTAATGGAGCACAACCACAGGTGGATCACAGTGACAACTGTCCAGCCTGCTCAGAGAATGCAGCACCCCATGCACCTCTCCAGTGGAGGACAAACACAACTTTTAAAACCAAAAGCCTAGAAAGACATTCAAGAGGAGCAAAAGAAGGTGCTCAAATAACTGTGTCAAAAAGGTTCATTTTGTTCAGCATGAAGCACACCCAGGATCTGAAGCATACCTATGGTCTATGTCAAAGCAGGTTTAGATAATTTCATTTTCATTTTGGTCTTATGACTTTGAGATAGCATGTTTTCAGCAACTGAATGAAGTGGAAAATGCTAATATGAGCTTCTGAGAGCCTAAAGATTTTGTTTAAATTCCAGGTTATTTTGGAATGTGAAAGCTACTTGCTGCTTGGATCCATGACAACCATGTAGACACTCTTCACTTTAACAATCTACACCAGCATGGTAAGCCATATTCCAAAGGCTGAGTCTCAGGGTGATTGTGTTGTGCAATAAGCTGGAGTGACTAGGTGTGTAAGGCTTCATGCTCCTGGCTCAAATAGAGTAATATAAAAACTATTAAACAACATGAGCAAGAAGCAAGTAGGATATGGCAACATACCTTGATTTATGAACACTGTTTTACACACCAGACAAGTATTAAGTTTCCCAGAATATCTCAGAAAGGATGTTGCTAAGCAAAGATGATGGTAAAAAGAATACTTAATTAAGATGTCTGAATGCAATTTATGGGGCTAACAGCTATGCTCCAAACTATCACCAGCAAGCAGACAAGGAAAAATGTCCAAATGCAATGAAAAAAAAGATACTTCAAACTCAAGTTTAAGGACAAATATAGAACGTTTTGTCTACTTTTGGGTAAAAAGCCAATTGTACACACATCAGACAGAAGCTGACAATCAAACCAGTTATCATTGGACATGATATAAGGAGTGTGCTGACAACTTACCAGCAGCTGTGACTCCTTTTTGGCATTTTCATTTCACATTTCTACAGAATTATAGGAATTTCCTAGAGGATTCACAATAAACAAACAAAACCCAATAATAAATTAAAGGAAAACCCTGTGGCTAACCTACTACTTCAGAATTTGTTAAACAGACAAAAGGAATTTACAGCAGTTAAGAATGCACTTGAAAGTTTAGTTGAACAAGCTACCTGCATCCTTTCATAACTGGACCATGGATTTTATTTTTCATTTATTTTCACTGTATGCATAAATGTTTAGGCCATGGCTTACACAAAACAAATAAGGACATCAAGACAGAATTATGCTGCAAGTAAGATTGTTAGAGATCTGAACAAAAATTAAAAGGAGGACTCTTGTAACTAATTAACTAATAATGATACCTATATTTAAAAATAGAATGCAAAAAGGACATAAAATGACCGCAGTAAAAGGTTGCCTAAAAACAGGAACACACCATGACTCATTCTTCATAAGCTTTATTATTCACTTCACATAAAGTACTGATCACACCTTTAACAGATGCACAGAAAGATTCAACCCTTTGCAACAGTATAGTAAGATTGAATAGGGCTATAAATCTTCAAAGTGCAGCACAAACATAAGCTCTGAGAAGGATATGAAATGGTGACATACAGGACAGCTTAAGTGACTTGCTCTAAGGGCACAGAGCAACGCAGTGAACCGAGGCGGAATGAATCCCAGGTTCTCCTTAGCAACGAGACACAGATACCCCGGCCACTCAAATTTGCATTTAGGTTTCAATCATATTTCAGGCTTTTAATAGAAAGTCTTCTAAATGTCACCCACGGGTCAGACACGATGCAATGTTGTCCTCTTGAATTTGTAGGCAAACAGCAACCATGAAACTACATATACAGCCCGGGGTACTTCCAAACCTGAAGCTAGGTAGTGACATTTTATAAAAACTTGTCAGAGTTTACCCATAAATTATGAAAACTATAACTGCAAATATGTATACAATGACAGTATAGCAAAAAGAGCAGCAGCAGCAGCAATGAGTATGTTCCTTGTACTGTCCTTGTTGCCTTGTACTTTCCCTCCCCAGCCCCATTGCCTATGGGTGCTGAATTCAGGAATGAACTGCCCTGGCTTAGATCCTAGGAGTGTTCTGCTGAAAGGGATCTCAAGGACAACAAAAACTTCACTCTCTTACAAGAAAAACCTTGCAGGTTTCAAGAATGGTGCAAGCATAACTCTGTGTGGATTTGTTGTTTGTAATATAAGCTACACTGAGATTTTTGAAGTTATCACTCACACAGAGAGATGGTGAGAATGAAAGAAAGCACATGGACCTGTTTCTAAAACCCACGGCAAAATACATTGCCCATTTCACAGAAATGAACTCAACTTGGTGATTCATGGTAATTATAGGCTTGCATTCAGGCACAAATCCTCATGAGCTCACATTTCTCTCACTCCAAGAAATACTGAAAATATTTGTATTTTTAAAGGAGGAAAAGCATCTGCATTGCAGTATTGTTATACTCTAATTCTACAATTATCCCATTAATTTATTTATCTCTTTAGAAATTCTTAATACAAAACACTTTGCTGAGCTTTCCATGTAGCTGGAGCATGTCTGAAAGAACAACAGCTTTACCAATATTTATAATATTATTGCAATGCCAGAGGCATTTCTTAAGTTTCAAAGCTTGTGAAAATCTGAAGGGTGAAATTCCCACAAGCACACATGAAGTTTTAATGGATACTGTAAATATCCTGACTCCCAGAAAGAAAAAGAAAAAATAAAACACATAGGAAAGAAAGTCCCATAATACTGCATATTTGAAAGTTTTCTAATTTTACTGTTGTTGTTTAAACACTTCACATGAGTCCTAATCCACTGTAGCAAAGCTTATGCTCACTTTAAGCAGGTTAGCATTCCAGTTCAGCTCAAGGGGATGAGCATACTACCCAAGTGATTTATTTGATCACTGTCTAAATTTAAAATTCACAATGGTACCAAGAGGAGGTTGTTCTATTTCCACATTGTTTGCAGTAGACAGTTAATGCCTCAGAGGTACCTTCTTACTTATGTGTGCACATGAAGAAACCACTTGCAAAGTGTTTTACTCTTGCAGGACCAAGACATTTAAAACAAATCATTCAAGCAGTCGATGGAGTACAATTGGAAAGGTAGGATTATTTTTTTTTCTCCTTGTGTAGGTTTAAAAATTACTGGCCATTCACTATTGTAACTTCAGCATTCCACAACATAAACCATGTCTCCCTACAATACTCTACATATTTTCTAATGACAACACTACACTGCTACAAGCATTAGTGACAGAACAGAACTGTATTTCTTTCCAACCCGTAAATTTCCTGATGTGGGAAATAAATGCTTGCCAATTTCCTCTCTGAAGTTTAGAAAAAGACACTGTACAGAAGAAATGCAGGAATAAAAAATTGAATCAATCTAAGACAGTTAACACAGGTGAAAAATAGCAAGAGAAAATGTGAAAATGCAGGCAAATGGTATGGAAAGAACAAGAATGGAAGGCAAGCAGAGGAAAGAGGGGGATTTGGGAAAAGAGAACTACTTGGAAAACATAAGGATTGTTCACTTGGATTGAGAGGGAAAGCACACTGACTTCTAACAGTTTCCCTATAAAAAGCTCCAGGTTATGCCATTAAATGGTCAAACACCATTGGTCATTAAATGGTCAAAGCACAACTTCCTGACAATGTTAAGAAATCTACTTGGTCAACATGTTGGATGTGGGGGGGATTTTGTTTTGTTTGGGGTTTTTTTTTGTGCTGGTTTCTTTTTTATTGGGGCAAGGGCATAGTTTTTGCTGGGTTAGGGTTTTTTTTTACTTTTGTTTTTACAAAAGAGAATCATTGACTCGTTCTAACTGCTTATGGCTTTATCCAGTTTTCTTGGTTTTAAGAGAGGCTGATGTTCTGAGCACAAAAACAATACCACCACAATACCTGCCCCTAGCAATATTTCATATGATATAAACAAATCAGAAGCATCTGAAGTATTCAGGACAAGATGATTTTTGGGCACACTAAGCTACAGCTGAATACCAGAGCTGAGATCACATATCCTGCCTGGCCTAAATCCTGCCCAAACACATATACACAGAACACTCCAGTCCTGTATTTGAAGCAATCTCCATGGACATCCAAGTCTATTTTCAGAATATTGCTCCCTGAAGTAAAAATGTATGGCATACTTAAAGGATAAAGGCCTGCTAAACTCCAGAAGTGTCTCTTCATACCCTCTTCCTGAGACTCAACAGGGAAAAAACAAACAATCAAAGAAGCACTGAGCCTTTCCATAGAACTGATGTACAACCAAGAGTTTTCGATAAGATAGAATGACAGGATTATTGCTTAGACTTAATTGCTGATTTCCTACGTTTTATTTTCATATTTTAACTTGCAAGAATTTCACAGTATATAAAACATATGAGATCTCCACCTCTCTCTCCTTTTCCATCTTACTCTGTTCACCAAGGTCACCTAAAGATTCAAAGTCTTTCAACGGCGTATTTTAAAGGTTCTGTTATCTTTGGCCCCAGATTTCTGCAGAAGGCCAATAAATTATTTTTGCACAGAACTCACAGGCAACAGCTTCCAGCAGATGGGCCAAAAAAGAGCTTGATTTCAGAGTGTACAGCATGCTGCTATGCTGCTAGTGAGTGGCACTGTCTGGCAATGTACATGGCACAACCACAGAATCACGGAATAAGCTGAGTAGGAAGGGCCCCACAAGGATCATCGAGTCCAACTCCTGGCCCTGCACCATCCCCAAGAGTCACACCGTGTGCCCAAGAGCATTGTCCAAATGCTTCTTGAACACTCAGACTTGGTGTTGTGACCTCTTCCCCGGGGTGCCCATTCCAGGGCCCAAACACTCTCTGGGTAAAGAACCTTGCCCTAATATCCAACCTAAACCTCCCCTGAAACAACTCCAGACCATTCCCTTGGGTCCTGTCACTGGTCACCACAGAGGAAAGATCAGTGTCTGCTCCTCTTCTTTCCCTCACAAGGAAGTTGTAGACTGCAGTTAAGTCTCCCCTCAGCCTCCTCCAGGCTGAAGAGAACAAATCGCCTCAGAATATACTTAGGAAGCATTCTGACTTGTCAATTTTTTCTCACAGACTAAATCCTACAGCAGTAATGCTGTAGCTTTCATGCTCGCTGTCTGACATTTTCAGTTTTTCGAATGTCCCAAGTATGATTTCTCATACTTGGATGGACAGCATCCATAAAACTGCATGGAATTATTCCAGGAGGCTAAAAAATAAGCCTGTATACATATATATGCAGTTGAGAAACAATCCACATCTAGAAAATACTTCTATATTTAAGCAGGCTTAAATCATGATTCTTGAATAGGTATCTAAGAAAAAGTGACTTCCAGGCCAGAAGACAGCACCCACATCAAGTCCCAGTCAAAACCACAGAGGAGACAGTGATTGTTTTACACAGTATTCAGAGTTAGAGAATTCCATCATAAATTAAGATCCCCAGCTCAGTTTGACCCTCAGTGTCTAAGACACATTCACGCTATCAAAATCATGTCCTTGATGGCATGCTCTCAAGCAGGCTGCTCAAGCCTGCCATTGGGAAAAAAAGGAAAGTATAAGCAAGGGAACTTTGTGAATTGTAGACCCACGGCAGCACCATCTCAAGATCCAATTCTAGAGTTGTTTTTATGTTAAATGTTTTAAAAAGACATCGGATACAACCAAGGATTTTCAGGTGAAGGGCTGGAGCCCAGAACCCATCCTCCGAAGTGCACAGTTTTACAGAATCACATAGAGAGACTTTAACCTCTCAGGAAAAATGACATTTCACACACGGTCCTTCTGTTACATAAAAATTGGCTATAACTAATTTGAGGCTCCACTTGTGTTGCCAAACACAGATCCCCACTCAGGCCTAGCCTAACACAATTACTGACTCAAATATAGCTCCTCTGCTGATTGTTTCTCTCACATTTACATGACCATCTGCTTCCCATTTTTGCCTTGTCACACATTTAGACCATGAATCCCTTGGGAAGGAGCACATTTCTATGTTTGCCTCTATACAATATGGGACTAAACAGGACTCAGGGTTTTAGGCCCCACTATTAAACAAGCTATTATACTTTATGGGATTGATAATTTTAAAAGACAGGAAACATAAACTTCAGTAATTTAAACACTAGACTGTGTAAGTTTGGAAAAACCAAATGTAGAAAAGAAGCTTAGCTGAAGAGGAAATGAATGGGTTTATGCAACCAGCTATATTTGGTTTTCCTTTATGCAAACTGGCTAATGATTGTGAGAGTTGTACCCTTTTCCCCACTCTTCCTTTTACTCCTTAAAAATAAAACAATCATTTTGTATGGTAAATACTGGGGGTAGGGAAATGTTCCGTGACCTAGTGCGGTGAATGATGACGAACTAGCCAGAGAGAATGTATTTCCTCTTAAGTATCTTATAAATATTTTAAAGGGCATAACAGGAAAAAAATTGTATGTTCAGATCACCTCCAAATTGTAGCCCTTGTATCCTCTAGGACACTGCTACAGCAATAACACCTCACAAAAAGGTCCATCTTCCATGTGAGCTGGCCCTACTCCCTCAAATGCTTATAAAACAGTTGACAGCTACCAAAGATAATAGCGAATTAAATAGTACAAGAATGTCTGCTTAAAAACAAAACAAAACAAAGGAAAAACTAACTAACTAAAAACAGAACAAAACCAACAACAACAACAATGACACAAACCCCAAAACTGTCAAGGTAGAAATGAGAATCTACTATGAGAATAAAACATGGCACTTCATGCTGACTAATACAGTCAGGAAGCCACCAGGAGGAAGTGGAAGATCTGGCTGACCTTACTGGTTTGAAAAGAAGGACATTTTGAGGAGGAGCCTAGCAGGATTTAACATAGCTATGCATATTATTATCAGCTTACACAATGACCAACAGTTACAAATCAAAATAGAACACCTTTTGTAAAACTGATAGCATCTACCTTTCTTTGCCTTCCCCTACAGCAAACACACATGCAAACAAGTGCAGGTGTGCTCAAGCAGTACTGGTAACACCCAAACTTCCCTGCCTTGAGACCTGCCCACTGCTGCCTCTTAGTTTGATGCAAAAAAGCTGCATGGAAAAGCAAGAACGTGAAGGGGCAATGTGGGAGCAGAAAACCTGTCAGCTAGATGCCTGGAGGTATGGGAAGAGAGCAGCTGTAAAGAAGTGGAGCAGTTTCTAATGCTGCATTTGCCTCAATCCAGGTGCTCCCCATTCCAGCTGAAGTATTCACACAGGCACATAACAATTAGCAGGTACTGCCATTGCCAACTGTACTGGTATAGCTTCGTGGCAGTACAGCTACACATATGTAAGATAATTAGCATGTATTTTTCTATTATAAGGAGTGCAGACTAAATCTGACCTTTCTCTGCATTTTGAGAAAACGAATGTAGCCAGATATTTCCACTACTCTGTCCATCCTGACTGCCAAAGGAGCTTCCCATCAGGTTGCAGCCAGACATCACGCTGGCAGGATGCTCTTCCCCTGTGCTGAGAAACGTCACAGCATGCACCCACAATTAGGGGGCATGACTGACCCCTGCACAGTAGACACACCTCTCAGCTAGGAGACTGTACTCTAGCTTGGATGGCATTATGAACAATCCAAAGATATAATACACAATTTATTCTATTACAGTACTATTTCATGTACATGGCAGTTAGAGTTGACTGCTACTGTTGTGATCCCGGAACTGCATATTTTTGGAATTGCATTTTTTCAACTGTTACTATTGCAAATTTCCTGGATAAACACTTAATATATGTATACCTTTTCAGATAACACAAATAAAGGTTAAAATCATGACAGAATATTGGTTATTTGGTGAGTAGGCCATACTTAGGTGATTAGCTATGCCATATGGATGGTTCATCTGGCAAGTATAGTGTTTGTTATTTGAGTATTTGATATTGATAGAATCATAGACAGGCTTGGTTTGGAAGGGACTTTAAGGACTACGTAGTTCCAATCCCCCTGCCATGGGCAGGGATGCCACCCACTAGACCAGGTTGCTCAGGACACCATCCAGCCTGGTCTTGGACACTTTGAGAAATGGGGCATCCACAGCTTCTCTGGGCAACCT